CTATCCTTAGTATTAAATTCATTTAAGATATAATAAATGTTCACAAACTTTATTTTCTTATAGACCAATAAATGTTGGTCATACTAATGTATAATTGGTATCAACAGATATTACATCACCTTATAATTTGATGGAATTGATGAAAGAAACAGATTAATGAAGTATTGATATAAGCTCTATTACCAGAGTACTGACTTAATTGTATTTTTTGTTTTTATATTTTAATTTATATATAACTGTACTTTTTTAAATTTCAATTACTTATATTTATTTTAAAATTTTTAATTTATTTTAATTAATCATTTTATGCAAATTTTTCATTTAATTGTTAATAAAAATAAGATCGAGAGATGACATATTATTTTCTATAAATTAATAAAAAAATTGCAATATATTTAAATAAAAATGCTAAATAAAAAATATTTTATTTAATTATTCTATACACCGTTTTCATTATAAATTGGTATAAATCAATAATATATTTATATTTGTTGTAATTTTGTTAATTATTGAATGAAATTTTGAGATAAGATACATAATTTAACCAAATAAAAAAATTAAAAGAACTAAATATAAATAATTAAAATTGAAAAATTAAAATCAACAATAAATTAAAGTATGTAGTTTAACAATACAATTAAACCTAGAGTTTCTTTTACTCTTAATCACATAAGCACGAAACAGACCAATCATGTAGCAATGTGTTGGCCGAAAATGACAACTTTCTAGGGTAAAAAATTTAAGATATTTAAATCTTTATATTTAATTTTTATTTTATCTAAATAATTTATTTATTTTATTGTTATTTTGTAAAGTGAATATTGTTTGGTAAAATTAAGGAGTAACAAAAGAATTTAATCAAGTGAATGCCAATTTTTATTTTTTAAAAAAAGGTAAATTGCCTTCAGGTGTTAGTTTGCAAAGCAATAGATTGCTGGACCATGTGAAAAAAAGCTTAAGAAGAGGACAACTTTTTATTTTCTCACTTTGAACAAGCTTCAAATTGAACAAAGGTTTACGTTGGCACGTACATACAATCAAATTGTTAACTTTATTTAATCTTAGATTCATTAGAATTCAATGTTCTTTTTTTGGGTAACGAAAACAATTTGTTTCAAAGAGAGGAAACACATCTTTTCCCCCTTAAAACTCTGAAACAATTGTAAAAGCAAATTTTAATTTTAAGTAATATTCAAAGTAAAGAATATAAGCAGTTAAGGGAACAAACCATAGTCTTATTAGAAGTTATTAATATTCTTAAAATAACCCTGCGTAGAACTACTCAATTATCAGTCTGGATAAAAGTGTCGTAGGACTCTCTCTCTTCATACGACAAAGAAAAGGAGTTAATTAAGGCTAGCGCATGCATTATACTAATAAAGTGATGAGCTTCTGTAATGGTTTCGATTGTTTGAACTGCTAGTCACCTCATTCATTATTGGATTAACAAATGACTAATCTTATTCACATAAATGTTCCCACACATTATACACGACTTAATACATGAATCACAAAATAATAACTTTATTAAACTTTAAAAATTAAAATCTTTTTTATTAAGAATAAAATATTTATTACCTTAAAAATATGAAAGAGTAATAAAAATTTATTATTTTAAGATGCTTAAATTCAATCTAAAAATAAAACTTAACAATTTTTTAAAAAAAAAAATTAGGACAATTTAAATTGCAAACTTTCTGTAAATCAGGGGAAGCAGCATCCCGCAGATTGAACAAGAATTTCTCTAGACTTTTGATTAACTATGAATATATTTTAAAAAACATATTTGTATGGAATATATAAAAGCACTGATTATTTTTTATTAATTTAATTGGGATTAAATTAGTATTAATTTAATATATATTTAATAATATAAAAAATAAAATAAAACCTTAAATTAACACACAAAAATCATATTGCATATTTTATAAGATAAAAATTTATCATATATAGTCAACTTGTTGAATTACTCTATCCACTCTAAGTTTTTAAAACTGTAAAATATATAGTCAAATTAATTGTAATAAAAGTAAAGTACTATTTAGATAGAAATTTCATTTTTGATTTTAATAATAATTAAAAATTATCAGTTTATTTATTTTATTTTCTATAAAATATTTTGAAAATTGTGAAAATAATATTTGTTTCTTATCATGGATAAAAAAATGATTACCAAAAATAATTGGTTTTAATGAAAGAGATTAATTTCATAAAGGGTCAATGCACATTTTAAATTCCTAATACCAGATTTATCATACATCGTGAGCATGATTGCTTCCTATAAATCATAGTTGTGTAAAAGTCAAAAACTGGATTAAAATTAAATTGGAATAGTAAGTTCAACAGAAAATTAATTAGTTAATTATCCAATTTTCACTTTTGGATAAAAAACAGTTTAATTTTTTTTTTTCATTGCTCTAATTTAAATTATTTTCATTTTAGTCTCGTGTAATTTTTTAACGAGCTAATTGAGTTCTTTCAGTTTTAAAAAACAAATTTAATTTTTCATTAACATTTTCTCTACAAATCATCAAATAGTTATTTTTTATCCAATTATTTGAGTATTTACGATGAATTTAGAGTATACATTTAAAAAAAAATTGAATTAAAATTTAGTAAAATTTTAATAAAGATAGAAAAAAATGATAAGATAGGAGATAAGTTTCATAGAGTGAAAAATGTTTTTTGGTTGTAGTATAATTTAATGTTTTAGAAAAAAATTAATTTAATCATCCTAAATTTTGAAAAAGCAAATGAAAATGTGTGAATTTTACCTAAAATAATTGACGGAGAGCTAAATTTGTTTAATTGTAAAACAAAAGACCTTAGCTGTTGAAAAAAAATTAAAATGATAAAAGATACAATTAAGTTAACATATATTATGTATTAATATATTCTATTTGATATAACTAAAACTTAATGTTAGTATCATACTTAAAAACCTTTTGTTGATTTTTTTAACACGAAGATTTAGTTTAATTTTAAAAATTATAGATCATATAAAATAAAAATGAAATATTGAGCCAGTAGTAAATATGGAAGTAGAATTTGTAAAACTCAGCTAACATTTTACATGAGACCATATTTGACCCAACCTTATGATCTATAAACATCATTAAAATTATAAAAATGAATATCAAATATAATTGTTATCGTACGTCCTTGCTAGTTAGTAGAGTGGTGGAAGGTCACACGGAGAGAAGGGGGAAGCACGTGCATAGCGAGTAATGAAATGTTTAGTGTTGTTGTGGGCTTAACGCTGTGAGGGAATCTGCACGTGACGGAGGGAATGGATTATAGGCATGCATGGACGAAGCCATGAAAGGATTCCATTCCATGATAAGCATCGAAAACTGCGAAGGAAGCGTCAAAGGTTGTTTAGCTGTCAATCCCTCCAAACTCCTCTCACGGGGCTCCCATTCCATTCTCTCTTTCTCTATCTTCTATCTATAATTCTATGCTTTTCTATACTTTTTTATTCTGTTTTCTCTTAAATGCCCTTCCCACATTCTCCATTCAGACTTCCTCAGCGGCGTTACCAGCACGTGCTATGTGTAAAGCTCTATTAAACTTCTACTGAGGCTAAATCAAAGTTACAGCGATCAGATTTCCACCAAAAATATGTTCAAATTAATTCATCCCAACGGGTTCCTATGCTTCAATTGAGAAGGATTATAATGCTTCATTTGCAATGTTATGTTTGATTTCATTATTCTGTTAATCTTAATTTTTTAGTCTGATGTTAAATGTTTAATTATAATAATATATTCTATTCTTTGAAAATCGAAATTTCTTTTTATCAATGATGAAAAACGTTTGTCTCAACTTTAGAAGAATTGCCAAAGCGATTTATTTAAGACTTCACTGGCTGCGAGAGATTAGGATTGCTATTTTTACGGGAACTTTAATCATTATTAGTTTATGTGCATGTCTTATAAGTTATGATGAGATTTAAGCAAATAGCTTAGCTTGAGGTACGTAAATCGAATATATAGGAAGCAATAAGATGTAAATTGAAATTAAGCGGTAGATATAGGTTCCTTTCATAAAATGAGTGCGTGGTAATAAGGACAGAAAGATAAAAATATCTAAAGTGCAAGTAATTCCATATGTTGCTTAGAGTGAAATCAAATAAAAGGAGCTGAACATAAATTTATTGAATAAATCATTTTTAATTTTCATATAAAAACATAAATAGTAATGAAACCAGTTACTGCAACTCAATTTCATACAAGATGAGATTCCTCTTATCTTGGGCTACAGTTTATGTTGTACTAGCTACCCTCTTGAACCCAACGCATCTTTCGGGAGTTGTTCTTTTACACTTTCTTTTTCTATCTATGTTTATGTGAGATTTTTTCATTTTCAGCAACTATATATAGTTATCCCTTAAAAAAAATAAGAGAGTTGTAAAAAAAGTATGCGAAGGAGGTACTGACATTTGCAATTAGTTGTTTATGATTAGTGACACCACAAAAATGCTTTGGCTTTATATAGTTGTACAGACCCTTGGGGTTTAGAATCTGGAACGGGAACTAATAATATGAAACCATATTAAAATTTATCACATAGGAGGATCAATAAAAACATTTATAACTGTTCTCCTAATTTTGCTTGGAATGAGAAGAAGACCAATATATACATACATACGGTGCTTTCGTGCATGTTCGGGAACACGATAGGTGATCACTCTAAAAACAAATTGCAATTGCATATAATTTTATTTATCCGGTATCAGTTTGCATATATTATATTTTTTCTTCAGACATAGCATATACGGTGAGGCCAATTTCGTAATTCAATTTTGACGAGCATAATTTGTTGTGGGGGATATGTAGGTAGTCGTCAAGGAAACAAACAAGAGATCACAAATATTATTTACACCCACCTTTCCTATATAAAATAAAATCTCCTAAGCCGCAGATGGGAAAGGGAAGGAAGGCATCGAGAAACCGAAGGGAGAGGCAACAAAAATCAATTAGAGGAAAGTTTGAAGAAGCATGGATTCTAGGCGGCGTAAAAAAGCAGCTATGCAACACAAATTGCAACAACTTCGATCAGTCACGAATTCTAGTGCTGTGCGTGATTGACTCAGTACACTGATTATAATATGATGCATATTCACCTCGGCTTTCAATGCTGCTTCAGCTTAAATCAAGAAATTCATTGTTATTTGACATATCTTTTTTGTGTTTTATTTTTTTTTTGTTTATCTGGCAGGTGAACAAAGCCTCAATTATTGTGGATGCCACCAGATACATAGAAGAGCTGAAGCAAAAAGTGGAGGGATTCAGCTCAGAGCTTGGAATCGCTGAATCATCATCCTCCCATGACGAATTGCCCATGGTGCTTATTGTTTTTATACGTTTTTTTTATTTATTTAATAGTCAAAGAAGTTTAAATAAAAGAACATAAGAGGGATTCCTACCCATGTAGATAGATCAGTTACGTGAGTTACATATATGTTTTTAGATTGTAATACAACGCATATTTAATTCTTTCTATATTTTGTAAAATTTTCTTAGGTCACCGTAGAAACCCTAGAAAGGGGTTTCCTCATTAATGTGTTTTCAGAAAGAAATTGCCCCGGTATGCTTGTGGCAATACTTGACGCCTTCGAAGAACTGGGACTTGATGTGCTTGACGCTAGGGTTTCTTGTGAAGACACTTTCCAGCTAGAAGCTGTTGGAGGAGAAGTAAGAAATTAATAGTCTTGGACATACATGATCTAATTCCTTTTTATCTTAATTAATATGTATATTTTGTTCTTCCTTCGTTTGACCTTTTCAATTATTTTGATCGTCTAAAATCAGGTCGCAATTATTGGCTGAAATACAAGCACTTTGTGAAACTTTTCTACTTATATTCTATATTCCTTTTTCAGTTTCTTAATATATATACACTTGTTCTTTTTCTTTTTCTTTTTCTTCATTTCTATATAATTTTAATTGTCCAAAATCATTTCACAATTCTCGGCTTAACTAATGGGATTAAATTAATATGTGAAACTCATACAATATTTAGTAGATATCGTCCCACATAAAAATAGTAAATTCGGGAGAGAAAAAATCACGCGTGGGTTGTACAATTTTGGTTTGAACGACATATCTAAAATTCTTGCTTCAAAGTCCAAAGTACTGACATAATTATGAGTGTGGCTCCCATATATTGATTCGTTTAACCGTGAAACTTGCATGGGCTGTGACATTATCCACTTTTTGTCATGGAATTAACTGATTAATTGAATGATGCAGCTGAAAATCATCTCATGATTTTAATATCAATGTAACACTGAAAAATCCTGTTTGTTTTGCAGAGTCAAGAGAACGAGAGCATCGACGCGCAAGTGGTGAAGCAAGCAGTGCTGCAAGCAATCAAAAACATGGAATAATGGAAGCACACATATGCTAAGAAGAAAGTGCCTCATGCGTTCTTTTTTCAAAATCTTTGTATTAAATATAAAAATTACGTATCCAAGAAGGGAGAGAATTTAAGTGTGATACTATATTCTGCCAAAATGTAAAGTACGGCCTCCTCAGTGACCCTTACATTACATGTGATGTGGCTTTCAGCAGTTTCTTCGTTTGTGGGAAAGAATGAATGGACAGGGATCGTCCAGGTTAATCAGAACATTGGTAATGGCATTCATATTTTTATTTTTATTTTTTATAATTTTAGACTCTTGGTTTATCAAGAAGTTGCTTATTTTGAGAACAGGAAATAATAATAACAAGATAATATTCTTTCCTTAAAAAATATACACATTATTAATTTAAGAAACATTTGACAAAAAAATTATAAGTAATCTATCAAAATAATTTATAATTCTTATAATTTTTTAAATTTATTTTAATACTTTTTATATAATTTATTAAAATAAGTTATTCTTAACTTATTTTAATAAATTTTACGGTTAATTTTATATTATAAACAAATCATAAAAGAATTTATCAAATAAATACTTAATTAATTACGTTATATATGCGTCCAAACACATTCTTAATCTCTTGTAAACTTTACATCAATTTATTCTAGTATTAGTGACAAGTTGAGTCTAACCTTATGTTTTTAGTTCGGCAGGATGAGAGAACAAATTGAACTAAAGAAACATTAAAAAAAAAAAAAGAGTTGATATTTTGTTTTTAATAAATAAAGCATAACAAATAAGTTAATATTTCTTAAGTGGCGAATGACGCTTTGAATTTTCGTTAATCAGTAGCATAATCCACTATTTAATGTCCGAATTTTTTCGGGCAAAATTTTCTCCAATGAAAAATATTAAAACAAACTGTATTAATAAAGTTGTAATCTCCAATAATTTAGTGCTCACATCCATTTAGTCCAACATTGTTAACTAAAATCTAACATAACATCAAAGTATTTGAAATATTTTAGTTTTAAGAATTTTAATGTAAGTTTCAAATATTTAAATTTCACAATTGGCTCCATATTCTAAATGTAATATTTAAATATTACATGGTTTTAGTTTAATACCTTTCTTTGACGTTAATATATGCTTAAATACGTTAGTAATATGCTGAAATTCGCTATATTCTATAAGCGATGGAATTGCCTTTTTACTATAAAAACTATAAACACTGATGTAATAATTATTAGGAAATTAGTATATTAGTCTCGAATATTATACATAAAGATCTAACTAAGTTAATTATAATGGAGCAAGAGAAATCAAACTATGTCTTAGAGCATATATGTAGTCGGAAGCAGAATGAGAGAAATGCAATAGAGCGCTCCAAGTTAGTGATGCATTACGACGTTATGTTTTGATTTTATGTTTTCTAGCGTATTCTTACTTTCTTTAATTACTCTAATTTAACTTATAACCAAAAGCATTCATAAGGAAAAAAAAAGTATTCATAAAAAACTTATAACCAACTAATAATTGGCCCAAATACTTTTAGGGTGTATGTCTTAAATAAAATTGATACGAATTAAACATATATAAAACACTATTTAAATTAATTCAATTTTTTAAAAGGTTTTGTCAGTGAGTCAATTGTAAAAAAAAAAATAGTGGAAATGTTTGTTTAATACTAATTTTGATTTGAAAGCTTTTAAACTATAAAGGGGAATGATTTATAATATTTTGTGAAAATTTGATAAGCTTATGTTTTTTCAGTTTTTCTTAAGAGGTTTCTTTAACAATATTTCTTAATATTCTTTTTATTATTATTATTTATTTATTTTTCTCCCCAAACTCTCAAACAAACTTATTGGATTCGTAAAAAAAGTACTAGATAAAATTATTATTGTCCATAATTTTGCATTATTATTGGCCGATTCAATTAAGGTATAAATTTAATTTGATTATAATTTGTGATTGATTATGATATGTTTTTATTTATTTAAAATTTTTATTATTAGAATTAGTATTCTATCGTGTATTACTATTTTTTTTTATTACATGCATTTGTTATTACTATAATTTGTTTCTTATTATTTTATATTTATTACTTTTCTTATAAATAAAAAGTTACGTGATTCAAAGTAATTAAGTTAAATTAAATTAGAGTATTTTTTTACATTGTGAAAGTTTTTTTTTTTAATTATCGACTAAAGAACTAATTCAATTAAGTTAAATTAAATTAGCATGACACCAATGTCTTTTCTTAAATCTGAATGTTAAAATGATTTAACTGTTTATTTTTCCTATAAAAAATATACCCAATTAAACTAGTTATCACTCAAACATATACCTCAAAAACCATGCAGACTTTTTGGGTGACTAGGAAGATTATGGATAGAGTTGTAATAACTAATGAGGTTATGTTCATTTTGGAAAAAGGGTGGACGAACCATTCTATCATGAAAGTGAAATACGGAATCTGATTCAGTTAGTGCAATTCAGGAAAAAGATTATCTTTGCTTATAGGTTGAACATAATTATATGAAAATATCTCATTTTACAATTATCACACACTTTTATTTGGTGAGCTATGTAACACTCATAAGGCAAACAACATGGTATTTTTCTTTTAATCATCTTGAGATCCTTATATGGGCCAACCCAAGAAAGTTGTCAATGTAGAAATTTATTATTGACAAAATGTTTGGTAGGTTGACCCATTAAGAAAAAAACACTTCTCTTTAAGTGGTCACACCATTTGACAAAAAAAAAAAAAATAGTCACACCATTCTTCTAAAGTTGAAACTTTGTTTCTTATCTTTATATATTGTCTCTTTCTTTAAAGTTTCTAAACTATCATCTAAACACTCACAGGGACCCATAGGGTTTTTCTCATGAGGAAGATGAGAGTAAGCTAACTAGAATAATATTGTGCACATGGTGTAAACCAAAAGAATGGGTTAGGGGAGGAAATTTGATATGACTTATTAACAGGGTATTTAACATTTCAGAAAGTGAAAATGCTTTGGTAAATGAGGTGGAAGAGTGAAAGAAGGTCATGTAACTTGAAATGGAGGCGAGGTTTGTCAGGTGGAAAAAGTCAATATATATTAATGATTTTGTAGATCTCATTAATATTGTTTCTTTTAGGTTCAATCAAGCATCTTCTTGGAGATGAAAACATGACCTTTTGAAGGTTTCTTTAACAAAGTCAGCTTACATTATTTTACAAGAGGATAATTCAGTCATTGACATGCTTTCTTAGATAATTTTGTCGTCATCTTGTATCCTTGAAAGTTATTTGAGCTTGTACATGGACTTTAATGGATGGCAATCAACCTTACAAGAAAGGGATGTAATTCATGGAACATTTTTTCTAATTAATTGCATCCTTTATAAAGTTTGCAAAGGAATCATTGGAACACTTATTTTCATCTTACAAGTTTTCGCACTCAATGTGGAAACAATGCTACTTGTGGCTTATAATTGACATACAAGATTCTTGTAGTATTTTATCATTTTTAAACCAAAATTGGTTCACTTTTTCACTCAATTTTTATTACTCTAATATGAAACTTGTTCATGCATATTACTTGATAAAAACTGAGTAAAGAGGAGTAACTGTGAATATCAAAATTTTGATTTTGAAATTTTTGATTTTAAAAAGATCTGAATTTTAATATTACAAAAAGGGAATAGAAACAAAGTATTTTAAGAAAAAAATAAAAATTTATCTTAATAAAATAAGAAAAATTCAAAATTAATTCTCAAAAGGAAAATGAAATATTAAAAATAATTAAACTCTTAAATCAATGTTACTTTATACATAAAAAGAAAATTTTTTAGATTTTTGACATTTTATGAAAACCCTAACAATAAAAGGGGAGAAGAACCATGAAAGAGAGGTTCAAGAATTTGGAGGAGGAGGAGATTTTTCTGAAATATATATAAGAGCTAGTAGGAAGGAAGAAGAACATAGAGTTAGCAAAGGGCTTCAAAATTCAAGTAAGTTTCATCATGTATTTTATATATTTTTTTTTCTTCATGTATATTAATATTTTGAATGAACATTTTCTATATCAAATTAATTTTAAATGGCAAAATAATAATAATAAACTTCACCATTCTTTATCTCTTTCTTTTCTCCAAACCACACCACCTTCAACCATCCAAAAATTCACCTTTTTTTTTTTCTTTTCCAAACCACCACTTCAAGCATCAAGACCAACCATCTCTCCACCCATTCCTCCATCCATCATCATTCCCAAACGCAAAACTCACCATAGAAGCTACTTCCCTATCTTTCTTCCTTTCTCTTCCTTTTTCTCACACTAACTTCCACCACCTAAAATCATGGCCTCTATTAACCTCATCTCTACTCTTTCATAACTTTTTTATTTTTCTTGGAGAAAACCACACTCCTAATCCTAAAGTCTTTTTTCTCTCAAATCTGAAAATTTTTAATTTTGGACTATTTTACCTCTTTTTTATTCTTTTTTTTTTTGTCTGAATTTTTTATTTATTTCTATTTTACCTTTTCACTATTTAGCTCAACATACAATTTCTTATTTTAGTTTTATTTATTTATTCATCATCATTATGATTTATTATTATGATAATTATTCATTTATTTAATGAATAAATTCTTATTATTATTTTTTTTGTTTTTTAATATTAGCCTAGTTTAAATAATTTTATTTTAATTTATTTGTTTATTTTAATTCTCTTGATACCATTTACTTTACAATATTATATTTGAGTTATTATTATTATTTTTTAATTTATCTAATTCTAACATTAACAATAAATTATTTCTTTTTTTATATATATTTCATTGTTTATATTTTAATTATCATGTTGATTTTTTACTTTTTAGGATTGTTATCTTTTATTTTATTTATTGTATATTTGTAGAATATTGATGCAATTTAATTTTATATTTATGTTTACTTTATCTTATATTGTGAATAGTAAATTACTTAATTTTTGTATAATTAATTAATAAATAATAATATAATTGCATC